AATTGTATGTGACTTCTACTAACAATTATTTCTCTGGCATTAAGTATTACTCATGTTTGGCAGTGTTTCTGAAACCATTCTCTGCGAAACCATGGGATTTAAGTACTTTCGAAAATCTTTGTTTTTATAGTTCTGTCGAGCAAGTAAGAAATTCATGCTGCAAGTGTTAGTTTTTTATTATTACCTCATATATTATTGTGCTAAAAAGATATTAGTATAACGTAATATAGTAGATAAACTATAATAAATATGAAGCAAGTATATCATTTAGTACTCTTGTATTAACAATTGCATTACTGCAATGTAAGATCTTTTTTACGTTATCTTAGATTGCAATACAATTACAGATATTCATACAGAAAATAATTCATTCTGTATTTGTTCCTTAGTTATTACATTCCAAAAATAAGTTTATCTTCAAAAATATGTTTATTTTCTTTCGATAGGGTTTTATATCTCAGTTTATTTCTTTTAAATTGTAGTCAACAATATTTTATGCTACGTTATAGTTTAGTTCATTCATTTGCCAGATTATACATATAATTAGGCTTTCAAAATAAAGGGTTACGCATAAAAAGTTTGAGAACCACTGCTCTATGGTATGGCATCGTGCGAGGTAGTTACTCGTTTACTACGCTCCTAATTGTAAACATACTGCAAGCGATTCTAATTTTTTCCTACGCATAGAGTGCTCCATAAAACTCTAAAAGATGAAAAAACAGAGAAAAATATCTTCGAAGAAAATCAAATTCGAAAGACGTAAAACAGTTTGCGTAATCTTAATTTTTTAAGAATTCACAGATCAATTTTACACTTTTCATAAAATTTCGAAAATATATAATTCAATACTAGATCATGTATAATTTTTATGAATTAGAAATTTGTTTGGCTTAAAAGGGAGCTTACACTTACGCAATGCGTTCACGTGTTAATTGGTGCGTCGAAATAAAGCGTTCTAGATACTGCGACAGAATGTTGATGATTTTAAGTGCAGCATAAAAATTCAAGTGGCTTAGTAATAGGTATTATTACAAAGGTTTCGAACATTGCACAATTAGAAATTGCTATTGCTAATAAACACACGTACAGTAATCTCGTTCCGATAAGAAACGGTAGATGCTACAGCAGTCCAAGAATCGTGGAACTTTACGATTACATGTTTGTAAGTGATTCTTCGGTTGTACATTGCAAAGTGATGAGTTACACTGTTACACTATAATACACATTATGATTCGCTTGTATTATACGCATTGAACACGTATAGGTATGGTTGCGTTATATTTCATAACGATATGTTCGACGTGTTCGAGCTCTAACATTGTCGTTTTAAAACTTTGAGAACGTAATGTTAGAACATAATAATCGTCTTATAATTATTTACAATAGGCGCGGAGATGCAGTGTCATAATAAAGATAAAAATAAAGAAACACATTCTTCTTCATGTATTCACCGCGACATTTTGATTAACTCTTTGATTATAGGCTTGGATGTAATACTCGATTTTTCTTTTTTGTTGCGAATGAAATGATTGTTTTTATTATTTAAATTTCCAAATTTGAGAAACATTGGCCTAGGAATATTCAGAATGTTTGCAGACATAGATTGCTGTACTTTTGTTGAATACATAATTCTCCTGCTATTACTTTTAATGTAATAGATTATTTCTTCTTAACATTTTTTTGGAATTCAACAAAAGCTTTAGCAAATACTACTTTTTACTAACAATGTTCACTTGGTTGAGAAGAATGTAATTGTATATTTCTTTAGAATGAAGGATTCACACACACACAAAACTTTGTTTTATAATTGTGTAATTGAAATTTTTATTAACGAGGCAAATCGTAACTTGTGTGACAAAATTTTCGTATTTTAATTACAACTTCTAATTGGCTGATACAAACACTTCGTTTATGCGTTCCTATACGAATTTCATTTCGTTACATTGGTACTCAACGTTATCAACACGTGTCTAACACCATAAGTCGATTTGTGTAAATTCACTAATAAGATTTTAACTGAACAAGTTGCTGTTATTCTTCGAGTAGTTTTCTTTTTCACATTCATGTGACATAGAGTATATATAAAGTCTTTGCAATAATCATATAGTATTCCTTTCGATGGTTTTAAATCTCCTAATAGAGATACTACTCGGTGTGTAGGTTTATAAAAATATCCTACTTTGCAATTATTGAGCACACGTGAATGCTCAAGTATAGTGCCTATACTTCCCAACAAGAATCACGTAAAAATAAAGACATGTGTTTAATACGGTACATGTCCTGCATTCATCCATTAAATATCTAGACAGCAACCATACATTTTTTTCCCACTTTCGGATTCTTAAAGCAGTCTTGTCACTTTAAATTTTAAAGTTCCAAACGAACTGCGAGCACTTTGACTCGAAGGACGTTCATTGAACCACGCTGAACATTAATTTGACTATATTAATAATATATTTTTACACGTAGTAGCAATTAGGTTTCATATACCTTGGGAGTGTTGAAATGGATACAGCTTTCAAAACGCATTCGATAATGCGCTAATTGGGGAAGCTGTATTCGATTATATTAAGCTGTCCAATAAAGTACGACTTTCCTTATTAGTTTTGTGTACCAATATTTGCTTGTTATACACATAGCTCCTAGTTGCTTGTATCAAAATTGCTTTGAAAATTTCAATCTCACGTGTTAAGAAGTATATAATGCATTGAATGTAATTCATTTTTAAAAGAAATTAAAGTTTAACATTGGTAAGGAATCGCACGGACTTAATGGACAACTTAACGCTAGCAGTCGCATAAACAATGATTCTTAAGAGGATGCGCGTTACAATTAATTAAATCACCACAGCGCGTCTAAGGCTTCATTTCTCAAGGACTCTACCTAAGAATCTAGTCACATGAAACTTTATATTGCACACAGTTAACACGTTGACCGTATAATTATGGAGGAAGTTGTTTTCGTTCATAGATGTATCGGTTTTCCACCGAACGAAACGAGAACCAAAGGATTATACCATTCGAGCAATATTCCATTGGCAAATCGATGTTATGCTTTACAATAAAAGACTCATTCTACCATAATGGACGTGAAAGTTATTTCTTTCTTTAGGGGGTTCTTTTATTATATGTATATCTGACTAGCGTCACGTTACATTTTCTCGTTTACTTTGTCTCATGACCGTGATACCTATGGAACCCCTGATTTTACGTAGCAGGTCTATTATATCCGCTGTAGACATGTCTTTCACACTTTCATCATTTACCTGTGAGAGAAAAAGATTAATAATTATTTATAATTCAATCAATAATAGTTTAATAAAAACTACATACATACACCGATACTCATATTGAAAGTTTCAGAATTGTAAGAATCGCAATAATATGTAAAATGTATTCTCCTTCTGTTCCGAACGATTTTCACAATTTGATCATATTATTATTATTATTATAGAAGAAGTCTTAAATTAAGTATTTATATATATATAATTTTATTTTTAAATTGAATTAATGAAAGTATTTCATTATTGTTAGAAACAATTATTTATACATTCAAAGAATTTTAACTTTTACTGCCCTGATATTTTTACTAATTAATTACGGTTATAAGAATGAAACATAATGTACCATTAAAAGCACATCTCCTTGCTTGAGTCTGCCATCTTTAGCAGCAACACTGTCGGGATGTACGACTGATATAACTGTATGATTTCCTTCCGGTTGCAAGCTGAACCCTAGTCGACTATTCCATCCACGCGTCAGCTCTACCATGAACACCTTTAACAAGAATATTGATTATAATAAAATCATACGTCATGTGAATTGTTCAAACATTTTACAAAAGTGATTGCAAAATCTAGAATTCTAGAAAAATTCTAAAAATTATAGACTGTGTTTGTTAAAGCTTTAAATTTTGAGCGTTGAAACAATTCATCGTTCACCAGCAATTATCGTTCGCAAATGAACAATAAACTTGGATGTATTTATTAACACCTCGATTCAATTCGGAGACAAATTTCTACCTCAGTTCCTTGTTCAAGTTCTTCATTGGGGATAGCTGAATCCGTGGTATCCTTTCCGATCTTCTCTTCATTCTCAGTTTTATCTATTCCATCATCTGGGGCAAACATCACACCTTTCCACTTCAATAAACCCTTGCTACCGGCGGGATCCTCCGCTCCCAAGATTTTTCCTATGTCAGATATATATCAAAGTTAGAACGCACGGAGTTAATTAAATGTCAGTCTGCAATTAGATTCTAATTTATGCGACTGAACTAATTGGCATTGTTTTTCGTTCAACTTCACTATGAGGGGGGGGGGGGATTTAGAATCTAGTCGCACATACTGTTTTCTAATTAAATAATTAAATGATTTAGAAAAAAATAGTTTATCACTAGTTTATCATTCGTTACCGTATGAAGAATGGTATTGAAAGGTTCACTTTCCACTTCTATATCATTTTCTTTGATCACGACGTGAGAGAGAATGTTTGTCAAGTATAATGAAGTATGTATAATAAATAATATGGATAATGAAACGCGTAATGCTCGATGAAAGTATTTAACAATCTCTCGAATGGACTGCTTATTCGTGGTTGCCGGGACTCGGTTTTGTACGCAAAATCAAGATAACTCGACATCGTAGCAACAAGAGATTGCACGCTCCTATAGTACTAAAAGATAAGATAGTAAAACGTTGACTAATATGCTTTAAACACTTGATGGACAGTAGTCGAATGAATGGAACTTTCATTTACTTTCTGTTTATTTTATTTAATTGAACATCGTGTTTGATGATCTCTGGCTTACTCGATAAATCAAAGACATTTAACCGATACGATAAGGAGATTCGTCAATTAATTTTGCGAGTTTAATATTATTACGTTAAAATGCACGCAAAAACTTTTAGTATTATTATCAGAAATGTTAAATATTAGTGCCATGTTAGAAAATTACGTTTCTTTGATTACATAAATAACTAAATTTTAAATGAATAAATTTGACTAAACTAGATTTTGTTACTTTGATTGAAATGTTCAATGTTTTTCATCGTACATTTCAAAATAGGGAATCTAATCGAATACGATTTTATTTATGTTTCTCTGCGACCAATTCTTCCATATCGTTTTTAATCACTGCAAGATATGCTTTTACTTTTGTTTATAATTATATAATTATAATTTATTAATATAATTAATATAATTAATATGAATATAATTTATTTATTATTATAGTGTAATATGGAAAACAAATGGAAACGATAATGATTTTCCAATCCTTTTATAGATAATACTATCAATTAGCTAGTGTGAGTTATAAACAGCGGATATAAACAAAAAATATTTGTATACAAATTAAAAGGGATAGCATTTTAGTATTAACATAAAATAATAACAAAAAAGTGTACAAAATCTATTATATAAAGTTTGTTAATCGAATGATATAATTTTTTAAAACATGTGGAAGATGTGTACATTTTCTCTTCATTTCGTATCATTGAATACAATGTATTATCAATAGTAAGCACTCACAAGCTCAATTTCATCCGTTTGTTAGTTCGCCTATAGCGTAACAAAAAAGGCTCGAAATTTTGATCGCCCGTAAAACCAACGATTTAAAAATTTCGAAAAATCCTTTGAAGTACGTTCTCATCGAAATTTCATCGAATCGTGAAACAGTACATACTCCAAAAAGTGTTCAATTTCTTGTGGACTTTCGGACGGAATTTCGGAATCAAATGCGTCGTTGTACGATCTTGAATAAAATATTGTGTGTAACCTGGTATGTCCTGATCGCTGGAGTGTGTAGCCTTATTTTTGGCAGCGGTGTCGATACCGGCGCCGCAAGCTGGATTGGCGCTTTGATAAGCAGGGTTTTTATAGCTGAATGCAGCTGTGCTCGAGCTGCTCGTTGAGGATAGCACGGGTGGCATGGAGGCCGGCTCAGAAGGTAGATTGTTGTCATGGTCGTCGCTACAGAGGATGTTCGCATGTCTCCTCTCGTAATCGGCGGGCGTTGTCACGGCCTGATCGTCCGCAGCGGCGATCCCGTCACCTCCGGGATACTCGAGATCGGAGTCCAAGCTGCAGAACTGGAAATGAGGCTTTCCTTGGGGTGCCGTTAGGTCGAGAAAACTCGGCCGCGCCGGTGTTTTCGAGGAATCACTGGAATCGCAGACGTCGTAGAGCGGCGGTGGATCGATTATGTCGGTTCCCGGTGTGTTTGGCTGGGAGTTCGTTATCTGCGTCCTGATCGAGCACTGGTCGGAATCGGATGTCTCCGCCTGGCTGGCCGTCGACGTCGTGTGCACGCTCGAGTGCTTCTCCGGAGCTCCTGAAAGAATCGGTACCGGTCTTATTGTTGGATCGAGCTGTTCCGATCGATTCTTCGATATCTGGATTGTTTAAGTACACCTTGTCGAATGGTGCTGTTCGAAAGTGGATGATTCTCTTTGTCGTTACTCCAGATAGGATATAGAGTACGGTATGACCTCCTTATCATAGTGAATTGAGATTCTATGGATAGGAGAGTAGGAAGGTGGTATCAAAATAAATACAAAATTTTGTTTATGGACATTTTTTAGTTTCCAATATGTTAATAATATAATAATTAATGAAACTTTTAATTAACCCATTCATAACAAACCCAGAATCAACCCAAAACTAACTTAGAATGTGCAATGCAGATGGGATTGTTCATATCAAGAGTTTTGTTTTAATATCGCAAAAATTGACAAAAACCAATAACCACAATTTCATATATATATATATATATATGTTGTTTTCCTCAAAAGTTAAGTTCATTATAATGAAAGTGTCATACTGTACTACAGCCACGAGGAGAGAACATGTTTAAGTCGTTCACAGGCTAAATACTTTATCCATCAGTTCATTTGCGACTAATTGAATTTTGACGACGGAGAGTGAGTCAATACTAATGAATTTCAATACTATGGAATATTAATAATGAATTACGCAGCATTTTAAGGATCGCATCGAATGAATACAATTTGATATTCTCGAAATTTATTCTCGAAAGATATTCTTGAAATATCAAAGCGACCGTGAGCATTTTCAAGCTCATTACATTCTTTCTTTAATACCATAGTACAGTTGATATTATTTAGCTTTTTCAACATTGTCAATGATAATTTTGTTGCCGATGGATAATTTAAAATACCGTTCAAAGATGGATTCTGCATTACTTACACGATACAAATGTCATAGAAAAAATTACGGTTCTTTTTATTTCTAAAGAATCATACTTCGCTACAAATCGTTGGAATACCTTGATCATTTTCGGTAGGTGTGCGGGTGGCAAGACGGCGAAGTCTTCTTGGAGAATTGCAAGACGCTCCAGGGGATTGCTTGCAACTTGAACCGCTCGAGGTACCTGGAGATAGTTTCCGAACCGCTAAATCGCAGAGCATGTCGACTGCCTCTTGTCTGGAAGAACATTTCTGTATTTTATCTTTCGGTTATGCATAACCAGTTGTTAAACATCGTCGTCGTGCCACTGATCTTTACTTCTCACACGTTTCTCGAGTCAAACTTCACACATTTTCTATTTTAGTTATTGTAAGACTATCCGTTTTAGTTTCTCTATCACTATTTTTAAACATGACATACTAGTTTATTACGAGCTGAGTATGTGTTCTCAGAAGTCACACAAAGTCACAGAATATCTTACTTAATTACTTTTACAAGCTTCTTAGACACGACAAGTCGTAAAGCTCGCGAAACAATAGTTTTCTAATTATATTTGTTACTCACTTATCTTAAATGGAAATGAAGTTCAATATTTTTGTTGCCGATATTTGGCAATTACAGTGAATCTAGACCAACAAACATGAATTTTTTGTCTCGTATAGGAATTTATCAGCGATAACGAATCAATGATTTACGTAGCTGTGAGAGAAATCACAGTACGAAGAGATTAATAAATTGTAATAAAGATTGATTTCGAAGATTTTGAGAAAAAGTTGTGCGACTCTTATCCCTCTGATCATTTAGATGGTGGTCGAAATGTGTTAATATATGAAGAATCTACAACTGTTTGTGAGGAGCGTATGATTTGAAAGATTTGCATTGAGTTCTGAAAGCTTCTACCCATGTTCATGTAATCTCTATGTAGTATACGTAAAGACTAGGACAGTTAGCGTATCGATAGATTTATTTTAGGTAAATTGAGTAAGAGTTGAACGTAAGTTGAAACTATCGAGTAGTGAAGTCGGGTATGAATAATGCATCAGGGACTGATTTGTTCTGTTTGATCATGGAAATACTTTATAATCACAAGAAAAAGTTCACCTCAAACTTGTTCGTGGTGGACGGAGAGGGTGATCAGGCTCAGTAGGCGAGAGCGCGGAGACAGGAGTTTGCGCCAGATCCCTGTACAATCGGAGCTTCACGGTGGGACCACATTGTCGCAGCAATTGGACAGCCTCTTCGTGGCTCATGGGGGACAATGGTGCCCCGTCAACAGCGACTATTTTGTCCCCTGGTCGAATGCGGCCGTCGCTTAATGCTGGCTCTCGCACTAATGCCCTCACGTAATGACCCAGTGCGCTGCTATCCGCTTTTCTCAAAGTGAAACCCAGGCTGCCGCCAACTTTCGTCATCTCTATGTCGAATTCCTATGGCAAATGGGTAGATGAATTTCCACCGATTCAATGCGCCTTGTTCAATATTTTCCTTGATGACGGAGTTACAAAAAGTTTAGGGCCACTTGTTCTTTCATATTAGAGTAATTAGGATAATACTATTGTATTAGGATAATAACAAAAAAGTAAGTTAAATTCATTTGATTTTTTGAGGCTTTTAGGATTTACTAATTTTAAACATAGTATAAACGTGTTGTAATATTTGCAATGTTGTACAAAAATGTACAAGAAATATATAACATAGAAATATATAAAATGTTCAAGAAATATCTGTGCAGGCTTTATGGTAAAAGCCGAGAAATTGTTAAAACTGAAAATTTTAGTTACTGTTTTTACAGTTTTCGAAGATTCATCATGATCAAAAAAACGACATTCGATTTGCGATGAGTGCATCAAAATTTATGAAAGCCTTCGATTAATTATCGAAGATTGAAAATAAAATAAAATTTTTTTAGGTAATATAAGTTCAACTTATTGAAGTGTCTTTCAAATAAAGAAAAGCATAAATTCTTGTAAAAATTGAGAAATATTTAAGTTAAAATGTTTAAGAGATTTTTATGATATGAATAGAAGGTAGATTATTATATAATGTCGAATATTTGTACGTGTCATGAGTAATCGGAGTTGATATGACCCATATAAACGCGATGGATTTTGTTGCCATTGCATCAGAAACTGTTCGTTAGCTAAGAGATGCCAAAATCTAAATTGTAAACGAACTTCGATTGGATTCTGTATTCCTCTGGAGAGTCTCTGGATGTAACTGATAGTATATTCATTACTCATTGCTTTATGAATACTACATAGTTATGCTGTCGAGTTTGATGGCCATGAACCACGAGATATTTAAAAACAGATTTTCCTTGACTGTATTTTACGAATTTAGTATCTTTCACAACGTCAATGTAATTTGATTATTCGAAATGAAATATTTATGTAATAATAAAATAAATATTGTCCACTATATTATTTACATTTATATTTTATACTTCTAAGAACTGTCGGATCATTTCCGTATGATTCATAAGTCTAGATTTAAAAATTAACTTTTCTGAAATGCCAAACAGATTGAAATGTTATCAATTAGGATCTGTGGGAACTCATGAGATAATATGTTAGCAGTAAAAGTTATCCCAACAAGTTCTATTTCTTTTCTTTTTTACTTTTAATAAATTAAAGACATTCTAAATAGAATCATAAGTTCTTCTGATGTCTTCATTGCTCTGTATTTCGCTTACCGATTTCATGATACCGATTTTATTCATAATAGTGTAAAGTTTCATTTAAATCGATCATGAAAAAAAACTGCTAGTCACTTACAATCACGACTTATATTATAAAAAACATTTCGGTTGAAAAAATAATGGTTATCCTATGGCTCCTCTGCATTTTGGTTATATTTCACGTCTGCAGGAACTGTTACTCGTGTGCGCATGGAAATACAGTGGTTTCATAATACCTTGTCAATAGTAATTCCGTCGTATCTCAATCGGGCAATTTCAATCTTCCGATTAGCATTCAAGGGGGTGGAAAATCGAGGAATTCTGTGAGTCAGTGATCCAGGAAATTCGGTTGCCTACCGGGTCGCAACAAGGAAGGATTCTTGATAAGGGTTACTTACACCGCAGGGTTCGATTTGAAGTGGCGGCAGGGGGTTCAAAATACGCAGAGGCGGGGGCGGCTCACGCCTTGCCGGGGGCGGCGGGGGTGCCCCGGGTGGTGTGACATTCGTATCACCCGGAAGCCGGCACACCACCAACTCCACAGTACTGGGTGTCGTTCGTAGAACTTCGAGAGCCTCCTGCAACAAGTTGCATTCAAATCAGATTCAAGATTCCGATTCCTCGACGTTGGTCATCTTCAACTATTTCGATATTGCAGCGTTAATACACCTAGCAAAATATGATTCAATCGAACGTTTACCGTTGTAATTATTTATACTTTCGGCATGGGAAATATTTTCATTAACACGTTGACCATCACATCACAATCCCAAAAAGTCCTGCAACTTATAAACGGTTTAGTTAAGGAAATTAAAACTGGCAAGTTGAAGTTTATTAATGCGATTGTTTCTTTCATTCTACTGTACGATACAAATCATAATCTGCTCTCGATAATAGTTTTTAATCTGATCAAAGACTAGTGTTATCCTTATATGAACGATGTGGCAGTCAACATGTTAATATTATGTATAAAGAAAATATTCCAGACATTATTGGAAAAACAAACACATTTATTTTTATATGAATGGAGAGTTCTATTATTTCCAAACGTTTAGCATTATTCCGTTGTACTAACACTTTTGTCCACATTTATCGTTATGTTCTGGGAAATCTAAGATTAAGTGTAGAAACATTGCTTTTTTGCAATGTTTTCTAAGACATTTTAAACAATTTATCTTTATACCAAGTAAGAAGAACTAAAATATATCCTGACTTAATAGAAGTTTTGGTAATAGTGTTGTTCAAGTATTATGTCTTCCATTATGCATGTCTAAAATTATTCACATAATTCAAATTCTAACAGAGTTATCGAAGTTTTGGGATTCACCATTGATGTGTTACCGTGCAAGAGAAAATACGGCGAACAGTGTTGAACAACATAAACTGATATTATACCTTGATTCTCCGAGGATAAACGTGCTCGAACTATGTATGTATACGCAAGATAGCGTCTTATGTTAACCAAAGATAGCGTATTATGTTAATCAAATGCAAATCTGGAACAGCTACGAGAAGACAAGCTTGTGGAATTCATCCAAAATATGGTACAGTAATCGGTTGGATAGGCTGGGATGAAATATTACGTTTTTGAGTAAGGGCCAGAGGACAGAAATTTTTTTTAATGAGAACCGAACTTTAATTGATAAATGGACATGCAAAAGTTCAATTAGGAGTTCTGTGACGACGTTATTTCTCAGTTTTTATTATTTTTTTTTTTTATACTGTGATGTTACAATTTTATTTGTTTCGTATTTGTAGATATACAAGATTATAAGGTTCTTACTTGATTGCTGTGACAAAGAAACTTTAGTGTAATTTTATGTTTTTGCAATATATTGGGCAAGTGTAAAAAATTGTATACATTTTATGAAATGTGTACTAGTTTTATAGGCAAGCAAATATTGCAAGTATTATAAGAAACACATCTAATCTATCTACATATATTTTAACACAACTCAGACACAGAGTTTTAAATAACAATGGGGAGTATTATTGGAAATAATAATAATAAATAATATTATTTTCAAATAACAATAGAGATTGTGCTATGTATTTAATAAAATAAATTATTTTTGTTAAGGAAATACGATCTAGGCAAAAATTCTTGTTGATAAAACGCGCACAGCTGACGAAATTAAACTTTACTTACATAATTGGTGAGACCGGTTAGGGGAATACCATTAGCAGCAAGGAGAATATCACCAGGTTGAAGTTTATTGGACAAGGCCGCAGGTTGTTGAGGAAACAGTCTTTTTACTCGTACTGGCCCTGCGGTTCCACCACCGGAAACGCTTAAGCCAAGTCCACGACTGCTTTTCTGCAACGTTACCCGGAACGTGCTCTCTGAAAATGAAATAAAATACATTAGTCATGTGGAAACTTTTCCGAAAACCAAAATTCCATTTTCAAGTATTTACTTTTAGTTTTACCTAATAAGGTACCCTTGACTCATTCGAGGATGAAGACAATATTACGGTCACGTTTCGAAAAGGCAGAACTTTTTTATAAAATCTTGCTGAATGCGCTACTTAATATTTCATACATCATAATTATTAATAGACTCCAAATCTTTGTGCAAAATAAACATTTTCCAAGACGGTTGTAGGAATCAGGAATTAAAGGAAAATGAAACATTTCTTTTAATAATTTTGATAAGTTTAAAATAGTATGCCAATATTATTAAATTTACTACGAAGAGAATACTACACGCCGTTACCTATTCATTAATTATAAATACATAACAATAGTTATTTCTGCCAACATTGTATACAAAGTTATTTGTTTAATCAATTGAATATAAACAGAGAACGAAATATAATTCATATATGTGAAATTAAATATTAGCCGCGGAAAATTATTTGTCACCATCAGATGAAAACGAAATTAATTTTGCTAGTTTTGTTTTTGTTTAAAGCCGTAACGTGCAGCATAATATTTAGAAGATCATTAGAATTTATATTTCACGTTTTCAATATTTCATACATGTGCACACACTATATATTCTATAACTTCTGTCAATATACAGCCGCAAATGTCCAAACATGCCATGTTTCATCGACATTAATAGAACGTATAATATTTATGAACAGGTGGAAGCGTGCCATCTTCAAATTGATAGAAACAGTGTGTTTGGGGTGGTTTCAATTTTAATTGCTTATTTACACGAAATGAATTCAAACCGGAACAGAGGAAAACTAGGATGAACCAATTGTTCACCACATAGGAAAAGCGCGGCGCTGAATATTTAAAATATGGACATAGTGGAAGAACGGTGCGTTTTTTGATTGTGTAAATTTTCTAAAACTCAGTCCAGTTCGTAATTTAGTACGCTCGTTGGCGTGATACATGACCTGATACGACGAATTGGGCTAGCTATGTGAACAATTACTTTTTACCCGTTATTTTATGTAGTGTCACTGCACCAGCTGCATATTTCAGGCGTTATAGTGAGTTTCACAGCGCGTAGTGTCACCTTGTTGATCGTAATTCTACATACAGCGTGGTAGAGATACATATACAGGGTGGACCGGAATTCCTAGTACAACCGAGCAGAGGCTGATTCTACGTGAAAAAATAAGAAACAAATTTGGTATAACATTTTTTTTATCCGGGTCTCCTTTTTTGAGAAAATCGACTTTAAAATTTATTTATCTTTGTAAAGGATTTAGTTGTCTATTCTTCCATCGCAGTTGCCTCCGACCGAGATGATGTTTACAAACATTAATTGTTGCGAACTACAGCAGAAATTCTCAGCTTGTAAACAGAAATGGACAATTTGGGAAGAAGAGACATGATTATTCGAGCATCACAGCTCGTTTTTACAGTTGCTGACAATCGGCGACTATAAAAACGAGTTGCGAGTGAGTCTCTTCTTCCCAAATTGTTTATTTCTATTTACAAGTTGTGGGACAATTGGAGAGAATTCATTGTATGTAATATACGAAATGCTTCCATCATTGTCAATGTTTGTAAACACTATCTCGGATGGAGGCAACTGCGGTAGAATAAGAGACGACAACTAAATCCTTTACAAAGATGAACAAATTTTAAAGTCGATTTTTTCGAAAACGCAGCCCCGGATAAAAAAATGCTAAACCTTATCTTTTCTCATAGAATCACCCTCTGTTCGGTTGTACCACGAATTCCAGCTCACATTCTNGAAAATGAAACATTTCTTTTAATAATTTTGATAAGTTTAAAATAGTATGCCAATATTATTAAATTTACTACGAAGAGAATACTACACGCCGTTACCTATTCATTAATTATAAATACATAACAATAGTTATTTCTGCCAACATTGTATACAAAGTTATTTGTTTAATCAATTGAATATAAACAGAGAACGAAATATAATTCATATATGTGAAATTAAATATTAGCCGCGGAAAATTATTTGTCACCATCAGATGAAAACGAAATTAATTTTGCTAGTTTTGTTTTTGTTTAAAGCCGTAACGTGCAGCATAATATTTAGAAGATCATTAGAATTTATATTTCACGTTTTCAATATTTCATACATGTGCACACACTATATATTCTATAACTTCTGTCAATATACAGCCGCAAATGTCCAAACATGCCATGTTTCATCGACATTAATAGAACGTATAATATTTATGAACAGGTGGAAGCGTGCCATCTTCAAATTGATAGAAACAGTGTGTTTGGGGTGGTTTCAATTTTAATTGCTTATTTACACGAAATGAATTCAAACCGGAACAGAGGAAAACTAGGATGAACCAATTGTTCACCACATAGGAAAAGCGCGGCGCTGAATATTTAAAATATGGACATAGTGGAAGAACGGTGCGTTTTTTGATTGTGTAAATTTTCTAAAACTCAGTCCAGTTCGTAATTTAGTACGCTCGTTGGCGTGATACATGACCTGATACGACGAATTGGGCTAGCTATGTGAACAATTACTTTTTACCCGTTATTTTATGTAGTGTCACTGCACCAGCTGCATATTTCAGGCGTTATAGTGAGTTTCACAGCGCGTAGTGTCACCTTGTTGATCGTAATTCTACATACAGCGTGGTAGAGATACATATACAGGGTGGACCGGAATTCCTAGTACAACCGAGCAGAGGCTGATTCTACGTGAAAAAATAAGAAACAAATTTGGTATAACATTTTTTTTATCCGGGTCTCCTTTTTTGAGAAAATCGACTTTAAAATTTATTTATCTTTGTAAAGGATTTAGTTGTCTATTCTTCCATCGCAGTTGCCTCCGACCGAGATGATGTTTACAAACATTAATTGTTGCGAACTACAGCAGAAATTCTCAGCTTGTAAACAGAAATGGACAATTTGGGAAGAAGAGACATGATTATTCGAGCATCACAGCTCGTTTTTACAGTTGCTGACAATCGGCGACTATAAAAACGAGTTGCGAGTGAGTCTCTTCTTCCCAAATTGTTTATTTCTATTTACAAGTTGTGGGACAATTGGAGAGAATTCATTGTATGTAATATACGAAATGCTTCCATCATTGTCAATGTTTGTAAACACTATCTCGGATGGAGGCAACTGCGGTAGAATAAGAGACGACAACTAAATCCTTTACAAAGATGAACAAATTTTAAAGTCGATTTTTTCGAAAACGCAGCCCCGGATAAAAAAATGCTAAACCTTATCTTTTCTCATAGAATCACCCTCTGTTCGGTTGTACCACGAATTCCAGCTCACATTCTATTCTCAGATGCACTATTTCTGATTTAGCCTTTCGTTGATCATCTGTTAGTTTTCAACCATTTGATTACTTCTGTTTACTTGTAATCGGAGATCATTTCACTTCAAAATGCGAAAATGCACTTAAAATTACATTGAAAAGTTACCAGTGCTTGCTAAGTTAAATAACTGTATATTCTGTTACGAATATTAATTGCTCCAATGTAAAAATAAGGTTGAACTTCTGTGTATTGACATCGTAAATAATAATTTAATGAAAGTGTGATTACTAGACTACGGATCATTGTATGCATTTATGACAAGTGCAGATTTTTAAAATGCAAGAAAATATACTCGTGTAAGTTAACAACGTCTAATAGCATTTTAACTTTATTTGTACGAGTAATCTTTTAGTTTACGTAGGAAACTTTTCCCCAATTTTAATTTTTGTAAAATGATGTACGAAAATTGAAGTTTGCTATAAAACCGACAGTCTGGAGAGACTACAAATAATCAATTGTTATTTTCAAGATTGTGGGTTTATATACACCCAATCCATAAATTTTACGCAATGTAAACACCCGCGATATGAATGTTTTTTTTCTGATTTTTTCATATGATCGTGGACTTGTTAGCATGGATGGAGCACCGGGCCGAAATAACTCGCCTTTTACCGGATATTGATCCGATCGAGACGACATATTGCGTGTATTGTTCACTTCGTTCGCCATTCAAATCTGTCCTTCTCCTGGTCACGTTATTGTTTGGGATCGCGCAATGTCAATCTTTCTGAACGAGCCGACTATTGTCGGAATTATTTCGACATCGTGGATTTTCTGAACGATTCTGGTGATCGTGCTATAAACGTTATCAAAACTTCGAGAATCGATAATACCGTTGACCATAATCGATAAACGGGGAATAATCGTCCGCCATTGGTATCACTACTGCTACTACTTTAATTCAGGCATAGATTGATATTCTTGCGAAGAATATTCGTCTCATTGTTCAGGAAAATAATGACTCATAATTAGATTGCGGAGTTTTATGCAGGATAAAAATTGTTTGCATCAATTGCAGGAGACAGAAACCAGATAGAAAATTGTTCTTTCCTTAAATCATTGTAATAGATTGAAAATAGTGTATACTAACACCCTTCAATTTTTTAAATCTTCCTACCACTTGAAGTATTCGATTCTGTCATAAATACGTACGCAGTCCACTCATAATCGATAACTGGCTCGTAAAATGAGTAGGAATAAAAAGAAAATGATAAATGTGACCTTCATCACGCAGTACCACAGGAATGTATTAGCTTTTCATAGTTTCAGTATGTTAACCAGTTTGTTGACTACATCGTCGGTTAGATTGCTTGGAAATAATGGAGCGGATGGTTTTCTCGGCATTTGATAAACGCCTCACGCAATTTAAGTGTGAAATTAAGCGCACATAATGTTAACACTGGTAATATTACCACTAATGTACTTACACATTTATGTTTAAACGTGACCTAACTCTAGCAATGAAATAGCGCGGGCAGCATAATCGTGAAAATTTATTAGGGACCACGCGACTAGTATCGCTATACATTTTGGGAACATTTCAACGATTTATGTTTTGCAATGATAGTATTTTTGAATAGAGTAATTCTGTCGTTTAATTCATTAGGA